GGTGAGGGCAACACAGGTACGGCCAGGTGAGAGTGGGGAGCACAGGTGTGGCCAGGTGAGGGCAACACAGGTACAGCCAGGTGAGGATGGGAGAGCACAGGTATGGCCAGGTGAGGGCAACACAGGTACAGCCAGGTGAAAATTGGGGGCGAGCACAGGTACGGCCAGGTGAGGGTGGGGGGAGTGCAGGTGAGACACAGACACAGGTGGGTTTGGGATGTGACCCCAGGTGAATCCCAGACCCCCCAGGGGATTGGAGTGTGAGTCCAGGTGAGATACAGATCCCCCCCGGGGGACCTGGGGGTGAGCCCAGGTGAGTGGCAGACCTCCCTGAGGTTTGGGGTGTGAGCCCGGGGGGGTCACAGACCCTCCATGGGTTTGGGATCTGAGCCCCAGGTGAGTCACAGCCCCAGAGGCTCTCGTGGCACACACCGGAATCTCCCGGGGGACTTGGAATTCCAGGCTGCCTTTTTCAACCCGTTACAAAACTTAAAATGTGCTTTTAAATTATTCTCTCGCAGTGAGGTGAGAGCTGATGTCCAGTCATCAGGTTCCGAGTTCTAATCTGGGAATCAGAAAAAAATTCACAGCCAGGGATTTTTTCTTTCTAAGACTTTATTTAAGGATTTCAGGATTTTGGCCCCCAGTGGAATAAATCCTAATGGATGTGCATTAAGAGGCTGAATTTTATTGTTTCTGGAGGTTTGCTTTAATCTAACTTTGCATCAGATTTCACATGGGCTTTGGAGGGAGGACAGTATGGATAGTTATGGACTTAGTAAAGAGCTCTGGTCTTTTATTTCAAAAGGGAACAAAACCAAACCCAACTTTGCGTCGCTTTGCTTTGGTTCACAAACTTCCTGGGCCAAGCTTGACAAGGTCCCATAGCCATGTGCAACTGTGATTTCAGTGTTGCTGAATTTGAAGGTTTCAGTGGGTATTCAGGGTTTGTACCAGACTGGAAATCATTCTCCTTGAGTGAAACATTTGTGTGGAAATCCCTCTCGGCCAAAATAGCTGAGCTCTGCACCACTCCTTTTCTAAGATAAAAAGAAATGAATCCATAATAGTTTGTGACAGATGGCAGAAAATGTAACTAACTGAATGTGATTCTGTATGGAGTTATTTGAGGTTTTTGGTGTGATTTGTTGTGAGTTCCTCTCCTCCCCCCTTTCCTTCCCTTTGATTGCAGTCTTTGTCCATTTATTCTTAGGACAGAATAAGATTTCTGAGCAGGGGCCTCTCTTGTGGTGCAAAGTGAGAATTGTTTTTAATTGAGCAGAAACATGTGGAAGGATCAGGAATATCTCAAGGGATTACAGAAAAATTCCAAATTTGTACTACTTACAGCTTGTGTTTAGAGCGGGGTCTGCTGGGAATAAATGTTAGTTAGTGTGACCTGTGACCTTAAAAACTGTTGACATGGATTTCAGCCAGAAACTGGCCACAGAACTCCTTTGTTAGGCTCATTCATAGCTCCTTGAAAACTCCAGTCAGTGAAAGTTGCCAGCTCAAATCTAAGGAAAGCAGAGCCCTTTTTTTTCCTTTTTTTTTTTTTTCTCTTTTTTTTTCCCATGCTTTGGAAACAGTGGCCGCCCCTTCACCAGCAAGACTCCTTTAATGGGGCTGCGGGGCCGAGCCCTGATTGGAACTGACAGCTTCCTGGCCCGGCAGTGCCAACTGGCAGGGCACTGAGCCATGGCACCAACCGCCCCGGGACAGCCAGAGCCCCACCCCAGCACTGCCCGGGGGCACAGAACGGACAGCGTGGGCTGGGGGCTGCTTTGGGATGATTGCCCCCTGTCGCTGATTTGGCCAAAAGCCACAGGGGAGTGTTTACCCTTGGGGCAGAGAACACGTTTTGGTTTTGGAGTTTTGACGTTGTTGTAAAATGCTTTGAAAAACCTCATCCCCCCGCTCTGAAGGGGTTAAGCTTTGCAAAACCTCCTCCCTGGGCGCTCGTTTCTGTACAGGTTTCCCCCTTTTGGGGGTTCTGGGTGTCCCAGCTGGGTTCCTGGTGGGACTCAGCACCTGCCCGGAGCGGTGCTTTTGGAGTAAGAGGCACCATCCCACCAGTAAGTTCAGTTATTCACCGGGACACTTTCTGCTGTTTCTCAGCTGGGGGGTGAGGTCCCACTGGTTCCATGTCCTTTGAACAACCTGCACTGTTAAAACACCCAAACACCCGAGTTTTGATTCACGTGTTCCTTGAAGGCTTCATTTCCCACAAGTGTAGAGCTGATGTGTCTGGTGGAATGTCGTCCGTGGGATTGTTCTAAAGAAGAAAGTAGTAGGTGCAAAGGTGAAGGAACCTCACTTCTGCCAAGGACAGTGCACCATTAGCCAATCCTGACTGCTGTTTGCCAGGGATGGAGAGGACGAGGGGGGAGGAATGG